GGGGGGGTGATGTTCGAAATGGCCGATGTGGTCGGGATTTCCTTTTGCTTGGCTGTCGATGAGTAACGAATGATGTGTGCCGGGAGCTTGGCAGGTCCACTTCAGCCATCCTTTCTTTTATTTTTTTAATTATAATTGGGTCGTTTGCGGTGGGGGATGCGCAGTGTCGCTTCAAAAAGAGGAAACAAAAGCTGAAAAGTGAAGGGACTGATGAATTCTGGGTTCACATTCATCAATGCATGGCGTTATCAATTTACTTCAGTCTTGGGGAGAGCAAAGTGAGAAAACTCGTGTCCCATTCTTGAACGTATTTAAATGATTTTCGTCTCTTAACACTGGCGATCGAGACCTTCGTCGTCTCGTATTATGCTCGCAAATCGCAGCGTGGAATCATACTCGTCGGACTTGAGCGGAATTCGCAGCGAGGCTGCAATAAATCAGGAAAGAGTGACGTTGACAGTACGAAAAGGAAGCAGAAAAACTTGATTGCATCATCCGTCGATGAGAAAGGAGGATCAGCCAGTTAGGAAAAAAAAATAAAAAGCGGGGAAAGGACCCGAGAGCGAACTCGGGTCGCGTGAGACAAGCGATGAAAATTAGGCAGAGAGATAAAAAAGTCCGAGTAAGAAGGTGGAAGAGAGTAGGGCACCTGCGCTCGGTAGAAGCACACTGGGCCCAGAAATAGAATCCTGTCTCTGTCTCTGTGTGCCCCGCGTGGCGAGCGCGCGAACGGTAGCTCGGGAAAGGGAGACCCCCGCGAGATGCAGAGGCGGAGGCGGGAGGGATGCAGGCGGTGTTCCTGCCGGCGGTGCGGGCGGGAGTGGTGGGTGCGTGTGACCCTCTCGGGACCCGAGGCCGAAGGGGCGGCATGGGCGGTTGCGCCAGGCAAGTCTTCCTCCCCGAGGTAGACCTCCGTTAGCCCCCAGACCTCTCGCAGGCTCCCGCCTGTAGAAATGCTGGACATCTTCCGCGGGCTCAAGAACCTCATCAAGGTCAGCCACGTGCACATCGATTCCACCGTCTTCCGGCTTCACTATTCCATCACCGTCATGATGCTGCTCGCCTTCAGCTTGATCGTCACCACTCGCCAGTACGTGGGGAATCCCATCGACTGCATCCACAACAAGGACATCCCCGAGGATGTGATCAATACCTATTGTTGGATCCATTCCACTTACACCATCCCCGATGCTCACGGTCTCAAAGTCCCGGACTTTGTACCGCATCCAGGAGTGGCTCAGAGCAAACGGAACGGCGAGGAATTGCAAAGGAAGTACGTCAAGTACTACCAGTGGGTGTGCTTCTGCCTGTTCTTCCAGGTCTGTGGATTCCGAATTTCCTCTGTAGGATCCTTTCCTGTGCCGTAGGGTAACGATCGTAGGATAATGCCTTAATTAGGATTAGAACTCAGGATTAGAATTACCTTTACTGGATTTTTTTTTTCCTAGTTTAAAATTAAAACACCCTGAATATTTTTCAGAGTGTTAACTTCGAATAATGCAGTTGGAATCCTTCTGCTACAAAACGAGTAGGAAACTATTTCTAATTAAAAAAACTAACATTGCTAAGTTAATTAGGTTATTTCTTGCATAATTAAGGTGAGATAACTAGTTTTACGTCTGCAGGGGCCCCAAATAACAGAATCCTCGGAAGCTCGAGACGGTTTAGAAAAACGAGTTGAACTTCTCAAACATTCCACGCTTGAGCTCGAATTGAATATTTCAACAAAAAAAAAAAACAAACAACCGAGACCGTTGAACAGGGCCTCGTGCCCGAATTCGAAGCCTGGTCGAAACGAACAGCTGGTCACGAGGACGGCAAAGAAAAAAAAAAAAAGAGGATCTCGGAGAAACCGCTCATCAGCCTTGAAAGGCAACTAAAAATAGGCGTGTGATCTCAGAGCTTGGGGTTTTAAGGCTTGTCGTCGCGGTGCGACGAGGTCGCTAAGGTAAACTAGCACGACACTCCAACGAGAGGGGCAAGCCCTCGTGCTTTGGACTTCCCCGAGAGCATGGCTGTCTTCACGAAATTGTGGCAGATGCAGAGACGCTATTGAAATCAGTGGTGGCATGCTAGGAGCAAGTAAGAGAAGCATTTAGAGATTCGTAGTATTCCTAAGGGTTGAATGGAAAGAGATTTTCAAAGAGATTTTGCGACAATGAAGAGGGATTTTGCTTATTATTCGCTCTGGCTCATGCATTCGAGAACCAAACTCGAAAAAGAAGTTTAAAAAATTATTCGTTTCAATTCGATATCTCCTCGCCAGTCAAGAACCGACGAAATCCGTTCCGCTCCGTCGCGAAAGCCGGCGGGTCGCGGCATCCAGCGCCTCCAGCGACGCGAAGGTCGGAGCGGCGGACCGGACGCGGGCGACGTCCACGCGTCCGGTCGCGTCCGAGAGAGGGCGGCCGATGGCGAAAATGAACCCGGGAGTTCAAACGTTAGCCGGTCCGCTTTGATCGTCGATGATGATGGCCGACGGCCTTACAGACGTGCCGCCGTGAAATTACGTGTTTTGGGGAAAAAGTTGGAGTGAGAAATTTCGCAGAATCGCGGCCAATGTCGTGTTCAAGAGGCAAGCAATTGGCGTACGTGTACTTAGTTTTAGATTAATATTTACTTTAGATTCAGTTCAGATTTGAATTATATTTAGCATGGAATGCAATCAGAACCCAGCAAAGACGAGGAACAGGCTAGGGGAGCTGAAAAACTCAGGTACTTGGAGCCTGCTTAAAGCTGAGACACCTGCGGAAAAGGTTAATTCCTGTTAATTGCCTGTAATTCGTCATCGGCTACAGTTTTGGAACTGGTATAAGTACTTTTCCGCAAATTAAATCGAGAATGTAAGTTCCCTCTTTCAGAGTTCGTTTTTCCGCTTAGTTTCCCTTTCGAAGCGGAGAGAAGTCAAGCACGGTCCTAAGCATTTAAGCAGACCCCGCGATAGGTTGAATTCTGAACACCTGTTCCAAGCGTACGATCCCCGGGATCGCTTTTGAGGCCGTGCCCCGAGTGCGAAGAGTCGGTGCCAATTCGCCGAAGTCGCGGGAACGAGCGAAGGCAGCAGATTGGCAGGAGACGAAAAGATTCTGGATCCTTAGAAATGCCTTTTCGAATTGCTTTTATTTCCCCCCCCCCCCCCCCCNTCCCCTTTGTTTTTTCTTTTTTTTTTTTTTTCCCCCCCCCCCCCCCCCTCCGTCGTATATCACGTGAGAAAACGGAAAACTCTTCCTTTCCCACCTGTGCCCGGGAAAAAAAGGGCGCTGCAATCGTGGCAAAGGGCCAAATGCATGATGGAAATACAGGTTCCTTCGTGTCACAGATTACGATCACCCCATTTTTGGGCCACGTCACGAGCGAATGGCAATAGAATCACCGACGGAGATCAAAATAGAAATATCTCATATCGGACCGTCTCGAGCACAGAGGAAACGCCGCGTCCACGTGCCGCGCCAATATCTTCGTGTTATTTCGGGCCCCTGCCGACCGTTCTCGCCGAGTGACCCTTCCGGGAAACGGAAATGGCGCGAAATGGCACGTGCCGATTTCTCACCCCCCAGGCGATTCTCTTCTACATCCCGCGCTGGCTGTGGAAGAACTGGGAGGCGGGGAAGATCCAAGCCCTGATGATGGACTTGGACGTGGGCATCTGCTCGGAGGTGGAAAAGAAGCAGAAGAAGAAACTCCTCCTCGACTACCTGAGCGAGAACATCCGCCACCACAACTGGTGGGCGTACAGATACTTCTTCTGCGAGCTCCTCGCCTTCTCCAACATCGTGGGTGAGTTCGAGGGATCTGGGGGGGGTGTGGGGGGGGGGGGGGGT